CACGACTTCCCAGTGTGCACCAAGAGGCGCTTGGGCTGTTTCAGATATCGGCAGTTCCGAATACAGATCTGAGGTACCGGCAAAGTTCTGTCTCAATGGGGTAAACGGAGATTCTACTCCATCGTTAAGCACAGTGGGCGCTGGAGCAGTAACAGGCGTCCGATGAGTCTTGGTTGATGAAGGGGCACTTGGGAGAATTTCGTATGAGCAGGTGGCCTCGCGCCTGCGACGCTTGCAAGAGCCACATGGGTGTTGGCGATCACATCGCAACTTAGAGCGTCGACATTCCTCACAATTAACGGCTCTGCGCTTTCGGCGATGAGACCCCGGAGTTTGCTCTACTGGCGGCCTGTTATGGGCCGAGATATCATGGATCATTGCTTTTCATTTTTTTTTTTTTTTTTTTTTAAAAAAAAAAAAGGAAAATGAAAAGGCCGACACTGGCAGATTAGAAGTCCGACAAGGTAGTTGTTGGTTGGAAACAAGAATGGAAGCCATGGAGCGGATCGGATTTCGAAGGTGGAGCTGGAGAAAACCGCCGCCGATCCCCGATCGATACATAACAATACATGACATCGCAACACAGGATACCATCGATACTGTATGGTGTACACTCAGTATAACTCAGGTGCAGAGTAGTTCTTTACGATAATGAGGAAATAATATTCCAGTATACCTTTACCTCCTATATATCTGCAAAGCATTTCCCAGAACATTCACATCACTCTGGCATCCTACACACTCAACCTTCACAGTATTAATTCATTTTTTGTGTTTTCAAACCGTGAAGTGGCCTTCCGGCCTCATTCAGAAGTTGACCGCTTCGAAGCCCCTCGACTGACGCACTTTCGCCCCACTGTCACGCAAAGATAAGCGCTGGGGGAGAATATCTACCTCATGTACGCCGTAAAGGATTTTTTCTTCCTTCGATAAAACGTAAAGTGTTAAGAGAGATAACCCACTTGCCCTGTGGTAGAAGAATTTTATTTGTGGCAGCTAAGTACCATAGGAGCGAGTTGGGCCTGAAGCAGAATCACTAGGTTGCTCACAAAACCAGCCGTAATAATGGCTACCAAGAGTGGTCTTCTCGTCTCAGAGTCTACTTGCCAGGACTTTGCACAGCGATCGAGAATCCGCCGCTTGCGACGGTGGCGGCGACCTCTTTGGACCCTTCTCCTCATAGGAGTGTTTGTAGCCCTGATTCACGACGAATCCAAAATCAAGATTGGTCCTGATCCACGAAATTCCACCGAATCAGATCTATTTAATGAAGGCATAAACAGATGTTATGAAGTTCGGAGTCGGAGCCACATTCGAGTCGCCTCGGAAAGCAGGAGGAATCACCGGTGGAATCCAGTCTCCGGGCAGAAGGGAGATATCGTTATCCAGAACGCTACTCTCTTTGATGGAGAGTCCACCCGTGATGAGACATTCGATATTCATTTTTCGTCTGGAGTGATCAGATCGGTGTCTCCCACTCGCGTGGAACATCCCACTCCAGAGGGTGCTCATATTATCAACGTGCACGGGAGATTCATTACTCCTGGGCTGGTGGACATGCATTCCCACCATTTATTGCTTCCATTTCCTCAGCTCCCAGCTACCAATGATGTCAATGAGAGGCCACTCCTGGGCCCCATCACACCTTTTGTGCGTGCCATCGACGGTTTCAAGCCATACGATCCCGCGATTAAAATTATCGCGTCTGGGGGTGTCACTTCATCGCTCGTTCTACCTGGTTCGGCAAACATTGTTGGGGGTGAAGCATACATGGTTAAAAACCTACCACTATCTGGAGAATCTGGCGAACCCATAGTGGAGGAGTTACTATTGGAATACGGTCTTCCCGAAAATGGTCGGCAGCGATACCTCAAAATGGCCTGTGGCGAGAACCCGAAGGGAGTGTATGGAAACACTAGGCTTGGTCTCACCTGGCTTTTGCGCAAACGTCTGGAGGAGGCACGGGGTTTACATGAACGGCAGTCTGCCTGGTGCCGAGCGGCATTTGATGTGGAGGAGAGCAGGTTGGCCAAGACACATCACGTTAAAACATTCATCAGAAACCATGGAAAGCGACCGGAGTCTTTTGAACTTGAAACTTTAGTCGCACTTATCAGAGGGGAGCTCAATGCGAATGTACATTGCTACGAGCCCGAGGACCTCGAGCGCATGCTCGCTGTGCTCCATGAGTTTGGAGTTCATCCGCAGGCTTTCCATCACGCACTGGAGGCATGGCAGGTTCCAGAACTTTTGAAGCACCTTGAAGAGTTGGTTTCGCCGCCTGCCCATGATGATGCTTTTCGCTGACCTATCTCAGAAACATTACTATCGCAACATTTGCAGAAAATGCTCTGTTCAAGGCTGAGGCATATGGTGCAAATCTAAGAGGGCCGAAAATTCTGGACGATCATGGCGTCAAGGTTGCCCTGAAATCCGTATGTCCAGATTATTTAAAAATATGAAACGATGGCCACCGCTAACATAGATTCTAGGATCACACTGGCGAGGAGAATTATGCAAAGTATCTAATGTAAGCACCTGCAAGACTGGATTTGAGAATTAAGATTTTCACACGAATAATGCCAGGTACCAAGCAGCAGTTTCTCATTCATTTGGGCTCTCGGAAGACAAGTCTCTACAAGCAGTTACATCTATCCCTGCTCGGTCGGTCCAGCAAGACCACAGAATCGGATATGTTCGCCCCGGATACGATGCAGATCTAGTTTTATGGGACGATCATCCGTTACAGGTCGGAGCGACACCCGTCGAGGTCTTCATCGATGGTCGTTCCGTTTTGGACAGCAATGACCACCTAGAACATCTTCTCCACAACTCCAGCTCTGCAGAATCTCCAGGTGCCCCGGCGCCTCGACCTTCGATTTTGGAACAGCACAAGGAGGACATATGCTCTAGTGTCCATAGCTCTCCATCGAAGCTACTGTTTACGGGCATCAAGAAGGTCCTAGTCGATACTCCCACTCCCCTCGAAAATACAAGAGATATTGTTTTGCTTCTTCAAGACGGTAAAGCCGTATGCCTGGATAAGAGATCCACCTGTCTGTCCACCAAATATAACGAACAAAATGTTACCGAAATCAACCTGAACCACGGTTATATTACTCCGGGCCTCGTCGCCTTTGGAAATAACCTCGGCATCCAAGATATCCCATCCGAGGAGTCTACTGGCGATGGCTTAACTGGCAAGAGCGCAGATGTCCTGAATGAGCAAAGGAGCCTCCATTTCGCAAAGTACGGTCTACATCTCCACGGCAGGGCATTTACCAGAGCCAGGATTGGAGGTGTTACAAAGGCCATCACTGCCCCCCGCTCTAATGGAGGCATTATCCAGGGAGTCAGCGTTGGGATACGTACAAGTGAAACAGCCACAATTCTTGACAATGGGATCTGGAAGGATGACATTGCACTCCATCTGAGAGTTGGACAATCAGCTAAAGGTGAATTATCTAGAACCATATGCTTAGTACCCTTGGCATATCATAGGTCGATAACTGATACTTCCCCAGGTGACGATACACCAACTGTCGCGTCTGGAGTTGAACGTCTGCGTCAGATACTAGAGGCGGGTCAAGAAGGTAGACCAGGAAGTGCCAGCATATATGTACAGGCTGCCAATGGCTCGATCCCCATAGTGGTTCGGGCGTACAATGAGGTACCTCCTACTTCCTCTCCCTAAAGGGAAAGATAATAAAGCATATCTAACTATGCTGTCTAGGATGATATTTCGCAGTTAATCCTCATCAAGCGGAATTTCCCTTCAGTGAATCTTGTTATACACGGGGCCCATGGCGCAGTCTCAGTAAGGTTCTACGGTTCCATTCAAGCACGTATATACTAAGCATACACCGTCCATTACAGGTTGCTGAGCACCTCGCCCAAGCAAATATACCCGTCATTCTGACTGGTAATCGCGGTGCACCTACTAATTGGGAAAAGAAAGATGTTTTCACGGGGCCGCCATTAACTCAGAGCCCGGCAAAAATCTTGACCGATGCCGGTGTGCTGCTTGGTTTAGCCGTAAGCAGCGACTCTAAAGTCCATGGCCTAGCACAGGAGGCACGTTGGGCCGGTAAGTTTGCAGGGCTGAGTGATAAGGAAGCTATTGCCCTCGTATCGACCAATATTGAGGCTATCTTGGGCACTGGGTCAAAGAAGACTGGTATTGGCGGTGAGAAGGCACTAGGCTACACCGGTGATTTTGTCGTGTGGGAAGGTGATCCTTTGAGAGGAGAGGGTTCCGTTGTTGTGTCTATTCAGGATGGTGAGGAAATTGCTGACTGCTGGCCAGACACTAGCAATGCTATTCTGTGAGTTAGTGTGGGTCTCATATCTCATCCAAAGGTCCCTGTACGCTTGTGCCTTAGTATTAGAATTGAAACGAATTCCCTATATTTGCAATTATCTGTTTTAGTGTATTCCGCTACTCATCAAAATGTACTTTCATCAGAAATCCTCAACAAACTTGGTGACCAATTGTTCGGGATTCAGTGATCTTGATGCTACAGGTGAATCTAACCTGTATGTATCACATTCCCTGTTTTTTCTACAAAAGATACTCTTCCTTATAACCTTCGTAAGGCATACTCCACAGTGCATGGAGCTGTAGCCCAAAAGCAAGTAGCATTAAGCCCTATAATCGTGGGATCTATTCTCAATGAGCAGCCAGTACTGGATCCAGTCTGCGTCCTTTGGACTTAGCCTTAAAAGATAGACAATCTGCGAGAGACAGTTGTAGAAGCTTACATACCCCCTCCCCTCTGCCACATCAGCATTTCTCATCTATCTTCATATATAATCTTCCTATAATTGAAGATATAGTTCAAAGAAAAAAATGCTCCACATCGGAAACGGTTTCCGGAAGGGCATAGAGAATCACGTGAGACTCTTAGTCTTTTGGAGTATCAAATCAATGCACTCCGTCATTTCTTATCCCCAGACTCACCGCCTATTTGTTGATCCTCTAACATGATATCCGCGTCACCATGTTTTCCTACTTCTTGTCGTTGATGAATGTGGAGAATAACTTCACCAGCACCTCGCCCCTTCCTTCGTCTATCAGCCCGGAAAGAGTTATTGAGATACTCCACAACCATGTGACGATGATCAGACTGAATCCGCTGGTCATCGATCTCCAACGATGTGAACCTCACGAGGATGCACCGGAGGCCGAGCGGGACCTTATCTGGTACGAGATTACCGATAAGGTATCCTATCTACCTTTTGGCCTTCTTTCCGGACAGGTCAAATATAAGGCTGGTTTTAGGGACCTTCCAATGGGCCTACAGACCCATATATACGCCCCCTTGGGGCTAAGGACCAAGAATAAGTGGACTCTTGAAGACCACACGGTCAGCCATCCGCAGAAACTATAAAGCGATGTTAAACTAAACGGTGCGCAGGACGAGTTTCGATTGAGAGAGGATGTTGGTATGAGATGCAACATGTTGATGGCACCGTTCGTAAAAAGAACAATCATGGCTTCCCACGGTCCTTTGGTAGACCGGCTGATTGTTGAAGCCAAGTCACTGGAAAGGGATATCGGGTCGCCTGTAAGGGGGCTTGTGGAAAGTCGGTCAGGTCTATCGCCCCCTCAAATCGACAAAAGAAAGCAACTTTGAGTAAAACACTCATCCGCTGGTGTATTTCGGTGGGTGGCCCATATCTGGTTCTGTGGAAGCATCTACAGCAAGCTTAAAGGTATAATATATCCAAATACTTGCAAGCCTAAAGAGGTTTCGGTCGGCCTAGATGCCTAGTTAGGCCAGGTAATCGTGCAGATTATGGATACGTAAGCTCATGCAGGTTCTACAATGCTTTCCCTTATACCTTGGCTGTCATGCCGTAGATAGTGCCGATTATGTACAAAGGATGGAGAACCTAGCATGAAACACCTTATAATAAAAATGAGACACAAGATGGGTAGGACCATACAAAGAATTTTGAAACATATAAAGGAACCTACCAAACAAGGATTCAGTGATGCCAGCATGTGGCTTGCCTATCTGTTCTCTGATAGTCCCCATACTCTTCTGCACTGCAGAGCTCGCCTCCTGAAAATACAGTAGATTCTGCACCTACGACAACATATCCAATAGCAGTGCGGTTCTGTTCTATGTACCAGGCATGAGAGGGGTATAGATTCCAAGGGCAGACAAGGACCCGAGCGGGCAGCGGCTTTGCCTACTCTGCAAATGTGAAAAGTACGACCTGATACTTCACTTGCTGGCTTGCATGTGGAAGATGCTACCTGAGTAGGACCATAATGTCTAGGATCACAAGGATCTAGGTATCATGGAACCTTACATTGCTTTGGACGAAGCCTCGTGTAAATGCCCACGGCGTCCGTTAATGGTACAAGGTCGAGGTCGATTGACATGCCACGTTTCACCTGCATATCACAGGCCGATCTCGCTATGCTACGACGATAGTCACGATATTTGGAACCCTGAAATAAACAGGCTCTGGGGAGCCTGTCAGTCCATTTCCTTTTCTTCGTCTTCCACCGGGTGAGAGGACCTTTGCACTTAGTATATTGAACATGTCAATTGAGTATAGGGATGACAATGCTAAAATCCAGAGAATATATCTAACCAGAGCTACGTAAAGCGGTCTATAAGAATGTCCTTTGTTGTACCAAAGCTGAAATTTGGTACCCTTAGACCTATTGTCCCGACGAAAGAACCTTCAAAATGGCACCCACACCAGCCTACTAGGGCTCGTGGGAGTGAACCGCCAGATTTATAATGAGGGCGTCATATATTCTACGCTTACAATACATTTAAATTTATAGCCGAGCGCGATATCCTACTGTTCTTGGTTTTATAGGGCAAGAGAATGCAGTACTCCTGAGAGACATACAAATCATAAACAATTGGCTCCAATATAGAAGCCACATCGATATCATTGAATCGCGCATGATCCAGTCTAGACTGGATGGGACTAGTAACTTGCAGATCTCAGAGCTCGACATCTGGAACGACGAAACGCTATATATGGACTTTGCACAGCTAATGAGATGCTCTGATACGTGGTTACATCGACGAGTGGGCGCGGGCGATACCTCTAATGGATATAATTGGAAGCAAGTCCTATGTAAAGTCCATTACAAGAGTGGAGAAGAAATGCGAAGAGGCGGAGTTTTCATTGAGGTGGTGGAGAGGAGTACTCTAGGCTCCCAAACCCACATGGCTCTGGAGGCAGTGGGAGGGGAATAACACAGTTTTCGAACAGCTACTCTTTCAGGAACCAATTTTTGAAATTACACCACAACCCCAGACTAGAAACAACCTAAATTTTACTCAATCTTTTATATCTATAAAAGCTATCTTCTAATACCAGTATTAATCTAATAGAAGATAGTACTAGAGTTGGCATCGGGTCGGGTTCGGGTCCAAAATCTAGGACCCGGCCCGGGGGTGGGGCCGGGCCGATCTAGGTGAACCCGACCCGAAAAGCCTCGCTACTAGGCCTATATAGGTAGGGTGTAATTTACTGAAATTAGGTATCCTACCTATATAGGCTTAGAGTAGAACCTTAACTCGGAGCGGGTCTTAGATCTAGGACCCGCCCCCGACCCAGAGCCGGGTTCGGAGCGGGTTCGGGGCAGTGTTTTCGGGGAACCCGGTCAACTCTACTTATTCCCACAGGCCACAGCTGCTGGGTGTATTCATGATCTTCGTGTCTTGTTCATACTGGCAGTTGCTCTTGTCTCAAGGAATTTGTCAAGGTGTTGGCGACGGCTTAATATTCTGTCCCATCGTTGCGCTGATGTCGACCCACCTCTCTCGAAAGCGGACGTTGGCCATCTCCATTACAGCTTGTGGGGCGGCCACAGGTGGATTGGTCTTTCTCGAGATCGCGCAGCACGTCTTGCATTGTGCTCTATGTTTACGTGTACTGTTAGGAGTAGGTGGTATCCTCCCCATATTTTAGCTAAAATGTTCATGGACAGGCCAAAGAGTAAACGACACCACCTACAGAATCGCCTCTGGCACCACCTCCTACTAGGATAATTCAACCTGTGTATACTGTAACATGCTATCCTGTCTCCCTTCTAGTATTCTGCCTTGACAATAAGAATGTAGGATAGAGGAGAAGAGAAGAAGGGCCATGTAAGCTTTAGAAGGTGTGGCTTGGATAGATGTAAGCTGGTTGAGTTCTAGTGAAGCTATCTGAAAGAAGATAAGAAGAAAACTCTGCTTGTTGCTGACTAGATAACTACTAAGTGGCTCTAATGCAAGAGATACTCTCCAATAGTCTGTAGCTAAGCGTAATTGATCTGATTAAAGAGCCACGCGCGTAGATGAAGGATGAGCTGAGAAAACACAGAAAGAAAGATAAACCTGGCCGGGCGCTGAAGTCAGCAGCTTGGGGTTGCAGTATCACTGGACCCAATATTTCCTGTCACAGGGTCAGGCCAGGTGACGTCTTTGGGGTCATGTGGTGCTCCGGTCTTGGGGTTATATGGTGGACCTGTGCCGCTCTGAGCAACTGGATCGCCGGCTGAGTCGATCCCTTGTGGGTATCGTCCTTCTCCACCGGTTGCTGAGCAACATCATAACGAAGTTAGCCAAAAACAAAGTTTTGTGATAGAAGTGTACAGATGCCTTTGATGCTATGAGAAAGAAGGATATGGCGAGGGATAGCAGTCTATCTTACATTCAGAAGAGCTGTCGGTATCACTCGAAGGGCCGTCGCTGTCACCGGCGAAGTATATATGGTCTGGTCTCCCTGCACCTCCTGAATCCATTGTGTCTGCTGTATTTGCACGGTAAGTCCCATCTCCTTGGTACTGTGGTGCGGCCCCCTTTCATCATGTCTGTCCATCTGCCGAAGTCCAGACAGTGCCATGGCTGTATAGCAAGACTCACCTTCAACATTGTCTCCAGTAAGGCTGCTCCCGTCTCCTAGGTCAGTCGGAGCTTCTGTATCAAAGGTGTATTCTTCATCTCCCCCTAGACCACCATCAGAGATCCCAAGTAGATCACCAAGAAATTCAAGAAGACCGCTCATGCTTCCAGAAACCTATTGGCACGCTTGTAGCAAGGACTGTGTTTTGGAATCAGTACGAGGAAGTGTGAAGAATGAAAGAACTTTTTCTGGGCTTCAGAAAAGTGGGTGTAATATGCGGACAGAGAGGAACAGGCCTGGGCCATCATTGCCACGAAAGCCATCCAAGGAAATGGAGCCTTCGGAACGTGGTCTAGAGCAACTTAAATTCATTTGGCTCAAAAAGTTACCAAAACATGCAGTGTATTAACCCATGCCGCATTTCGGTCACAGGGATTGGATTCTGCCTATAGGATGGTTGAAGGCGAGTATTTCCACTAACTTATCCACTCATTAAGGTTTGTGGTGTCACTGGGGCGGTGCAGGGAAGGAGGGTGCTTTTAGTTAAGAAACATATGATGTTCCCAGCTGATTCAGCCAACCTCTTTCTGTTCCGCAATCAAATGGGTTCTTTATATGAGTAGTCGTCGACTCAACTCAAAACGTATTCCGTGTCTACACCATTCACGGAGCAAAGATACTTCCTAGTGAATTGATAAGGCCACTTCTTTCAAACAATATGGATAAATTTACCCCGACGTTCGACTCCGACCGTTTCACAGTTTACAGAACATGGGAGTATCAGAATAGTGTTATTTACCAGATGACAACATGGACCGACGCGGTCGCCTATGGATTATCATGGGTCTCGCCGACAAAGCTAAACGTCGTCTTCCTTAAGGTGCAGCTGCCGACGTTCCATGAATCCTATGACAAACTTGCAGCATCTGGCGTGGAGCTTAGTCCAGATACCCGCAATGGCTTAAACCATGATCTCGGGACTATGCTATCACAGAGGATTACTCCCTGGGAGACTATATCAGGAAGAGCAATCAAGGGTTTGTGCCGGGAGCATCCCAACGATATTACCATTGCCGCCCCGGAGGTGGTCGGACATTTACGAATCTTCACCATTGTTTGGGCGCCTCAGGAGAACGACCGGCCAAGGCTGCAGGGAATGCGGGACTTTGTCCAAGAAAATTTTGCATGGCAATTAAGGGAAAGCAAGATTGAGTCCGTTATCAGAACGCCGGTCCAGTGGTTTGGGAGTACAGCTGCAAGACTATTTCTATGGGGTTCAATGGGTCCATCGCAAGCTTAGGTTCTTACCACTACAGCATCTGGATGTGTGATGACATTGCGCAGCTCCTAGGGGTCGTAACAGAATGAGCGGAGGGTTTTATTTTTCCTCCTTTCTTCTTGGTCTCCTTTCCCCTTTTCTCCATTGCGATGTATTTTGGGAATTAGTCTTAGATATTTCTGCCAATCCCTACTACTTTCAGCTCAGTTACGTGATGCACTCTTGACGTTACAATGTAGGCGACTCTGGCCGACTCAGAGGGAATCCTGTTCTCTGCTATGCAGCTCTCAGCCATGGGGGTAACCCCCGCCGGCAGACACAGTAGATAAATTTTATTTGTAAACAATTAACACCTCTAAGCATAACAATCTCGCGAAAGGAAACGTTCACAATGACCTTTCTTGGTGAGGGAATTCTGCGAATAGAGAGAATAGAGGTATTGTTACAGATTGAGTTGACATTTTTCCAATATTCCCAAAGCCGAGAGATGATGAGCCACAAGATGCCTGCCCATTCCCACTGGAAGGTATATCTGAGAAAGTTAATACCGTCTACATTCTCTGGCAGACTAGCACAGGCACAGGCTGATAGAATTACTGTGGATAGCAAAGCCCAGAGGGCCTGACAGAATGTCCGTACCTCAATCCCCGCCAGCCATCCAGACCGGGCATCGGCTTGCTTGCAAGGCACGGATTACAGAGGTTGCTAGAAGCTGTCTAGGATGTACTGCTGAGCACATTAGATGAAGAACTAGCTTGTACAGAATCCATTGGATGGTGGACAATATTGGTCAAATTCATCCAAAGCTTACTAGGAAGTGGGAGGGAATTTACAGGACTTCGTGTGTGTTAACTCATCACTCATCTTCAAATATCATGCGTTGGAACCATCCGTATAATTCGCCAACCAGAGCTCCGAATCGACCTTCGTCATTTGTGATTCTGTTGAACATCTTAGTTGCCCAAAATTTGCAATTATTCCCAATCAGATGATAGTCTCCGTGTTCTTGAATGAGTTGCTGCGCTGTTTATGGGTGGAATAGTCAGATACCAAGCTGTTTTGCCAAAAGGTATCAAAAAGTGTCTTATACAGACCAATCTCGAGGATCTCTTCATCAGAATAAGACGTGTAACCCATAACATCTGTCTCGATAATGAGACCTTTAACGTTCTCGTAGTCTTCCCGGCTTGCGTTCAGATTGTAATTCAGTGTTACGCTCTTGCCGTCGACTTGGTTTAATTCGTATCGCTTTAGGTCCCCCAACTCGCCAACCTACAGATTCCAGTTAGCCTCGCCGTTATAAGAAGTTGAAATAGATGGATATACAACCTCTACAGCGTAATGGTTGATGATTTGTGCCTCGAAAGGGTTATTCCATGACCCAGAGGCGCTAGATAATTTCCCAAACAACCTCGTGGGTCGATGGACCATGACTACTTTTCGAATCTGAGCCATCTATAGCAAATGCGAAAGGACTGTTCGGATCTGAGAGACTGCTATGTTACAATAATGAAAGATGACACCGCTGGTCCTATACCTAGTCAAACACACCTCTGTGCGAACGGGCAGTCAATATTGATTTTCTACCATTTCTCGGAAACAAAAACACCTTGAGAAGTAACGATCCATGGTTAAGTGGGGCGCAGCTGTTTCAAGGATGGACTGTTGGATGTGAGGGCGAAGTCTCGTGTTGAGCGATGATCCATTGGCGCCCCACGGGATGAGTCGTAAGATACCTGGAGGTGTGCAACAGTCCACGGTTTCGCACTGCCTCCACGACCCATTGGAATTTTGACCATGGTTTCCAAGAAATGGTATGAACTAGGCCTTCATCTAGAAACAAACACCGCGGACCCCCTCTTCACCAGTGAAGCAATGTTTGACGAAGTGTATATTTGTTTCACCCGGGTCAGACAGATAATTCTTTTTTTTTTTTCCATCGCAAATACCGGTCTTCCAATTCGCAATATCTTCGTTCCCACGACTAGAGATGAAAGGTCGCACAATGTCTGGTGATTCCTCAAAGGATCACCAAGTTGTAGAATACCCGAGGGATCTGATGGTTGAGGAGGACATCAGCATGCCCAGTGAGATTGCAGGTGATGATCTCCAGATGAACATGAGTAAATCATATGACTGGAAGCCCAGCGCTGGCCCTACTGCGCAGACCCATCATCTACCAGCCTTCTCAGGCAGGCCAGCACGACAACAAGCAAACCGACGCGGACCCGTCAAGGCCACTGGCTCCCGAGGGGTTGATGAGATTCCGGTAGAGAGCGATGCTCAGAGTACGCCTGACAAAGTGTCCGTGTCACAGCCCCCGCCAGCCATCCTGCCACGCATCGGCTTGCTTGCAAGGGATGCATTCGAGGGCTCGCTGGACACTGTATCCATCATGGTGCGGAGCGCGTTCTCGGGTATCCGTTATCCGCTGCAGTTCATATTGGTCGTTTACCTCATGATGTACATTTGGCTATCCGCTTTCACCGGTCTGTATGGTCACCTTGCCGCGATCGTCTGTAACCAGCCAGTGCTCTCATATGTGCCTCAAGCGTATGGCTTCTGCAATGACAGTGTTCAAACTCCCCCGTCCGTGCCCTTGAACTTCACCCAATCAGCTGAGGCGCAGGAGCAGTTGGGCATGGTTTTCAGAAAAGCGGGGGAAGGCGCAAATCTGGCGTTTCAGATCAAGAGCAATCAACATGCCGTCAGAGACCTTGCTATGCGGGTGCGCCTTAGTGAGTTGGAGAATAGAGAAGCTATCACACAGCAGTTGGGCCAGATTATCTCCACCTCGAAGCCCTTGGTTAGGTGAGTCACTGATTACAGCAAATCATACCTCAAAGAGAAATAAGGTGCTGAATTTAACGCTCCATCAACCACAGAAAGCTGTCTAAATTCAGTGCCAAAGTCAACACAGTACGGAACACTGTCATTGCAAGGGACAACTATGCGCTGAAGACGCTCAGCTCCATCCAGGAACTACGGCGCTCTCCGCTTATCAACGTACTGACACTAATCGACCCATTTGGTCTTCTATTGTCCCGCACTGTTCTGGCCGCGGACGAGGCAGAGCTGCGAAGAAGTTTTGTTCAAACAGTCGAGTCCATCGTCGAGAGCATCCCCAACCTCGTCAAGAACGCCGAGGGGCTGCTGCAGGATCTAGACATTCTGGAAGAAGCACACAACGCCATTGCCGATCTCACACAGCACTCTAAAAAAGCCAATGACCTATCAGCGCAGCAACGCGACATCCTGACGAGGCTGTGGGACAGCCTGACTGGCGAGGACGCCAATTCGCCTCTTCTCAAAGATCTCACCGAATATTACGAGCAGGCAAGGGATGTGGTTGACGTTGTGATGGTCACACTGCGGAACGTGCAAGACAATATGGAAGAATTTAGGGACGTCCATAAGAAACAGGTATTCGTAGATAGTGGTACACCGCTGGAGGTGCATATGGGAGAAATCCGTCGGGCGGTAGACTCCTTGAACCAGCAGATGTCGACCTTAGATAGGAGACAGACATAGGTTCGTCAGGGACTCCAGGCTGAATTCATCTAATCGTCTGGAACGGTATAGCCTGTCAGTGTGAACTATCATAGTATGCCACTGCTTTCTGGGTCTGGGAAAATACCTTGTCAGACACTGGTTTCCGTATTCTGAGCTGTTGGTGGCTCATCTGTCATCTGGCGTTATGTAGTTAAAAAAGTATTGCAACACTTGGCAGAAACGCGTACCACGTTGAAAAAAAAAAAATAATAACTATTTTAAACACTTACTATACTACTAACATAAGGTCTTTTAGAACTAAAATTAACCCAAATTAATAGTTGAGATTTAAATCATCTACTAAATAATATACTGCCTTGACTAAAGGTCTAAATGTAAAGGCACCTTCAGCGTAAGCGCTTAGGCTGATAGTATGCCTACAGAACGTAGTATGCAGCGTGGTTCATGGTCCTGGGGAGCGTGGTGTGCGTTGTTTTGCAGCTTTGGGTGGATCAACAGTACGTCGCCAGATCCCATATATTGAAGATGTAATTACATTGCTGACTCTTGATATTCTTCATAAGGTATTGGAGAATTTCAGGCTTACTACGAACACAATCTTCTCTGCCAGTATTCGAGCAGCAAAATCTCATGGATTCCGTCACTGCAGATATCCTTTATGTTTGCCGTGGTACCGACCATCTCTACTCATTGGGGTCTCTCCACCGCTATATGCTGAATTCTAGAATAGGGGCCGAGTACAGGTCAAATTTACGACAGGTTTGGTCCTCGATATATTCTGTTGGGTGGATCGCTTCTGCATGTCTTCGGTTTAATGATGACATCGATATCAAAAAGGTACTATCAGATACCCCTATCGCAGAGCGTATGTAGTGCCGTTGTTGCAGCTGCCATCTTCCTAGCAGGTGTGCATATACTACTTGCTCCCCGTCGGTCTATGTATCTCGGCTAGTACCTTACAGCGGTGAGCTGCATCCCCAGCTGGTTTAGCAAGAAGCGCGGCGCAGTATACAACATTGTATCCTCCGGCTCAAGTATTGGGGGAGTTATCTTCCCTATTATGATCAGCAAGCTTATTACCATTCTGGGAGTTCCATGGACTATAAGGATTTGCGCATATCCCGCCGAACCCTCGGAAGCTACCGAAGGAGTCCCTAATACGACCATTCAAATAGGTAAGGATGATTTTACTGGTGGCGGGCTTCTTCATTCTCACTTTCGGGATATTCGTCCCTATGAAATATCTCGTTACTACAGCAATGGCAGAGGACGTGGGCCGGGACCTAGTTGAGTACTTAGTTGCCATTCTGAAAGCAGGTAGGTAAGGCTCAATCCTGCTATTCGAATCGCATCATGAAGCGTCATTAATCACACAATTATATATAGCCTCTTCGGTCGTATAGGTAGGTTCTGGAATCTTCCCCGATAAAATCAGCTCATACAAAATCTTCCTGGCTGTCACCTCTATCGCTGCCATCATAGTTCTCGCGCTGTGGATACCCGCCTCGAACAACGCCGGACCCATTGTCTTCGCCATTCTCTTTGGATTTGCCACGGGTGTGTGTACGTTGCGCTTGCCATTGGTCTAGTCTTGAAACTCTCCCCGTTCCCTGAGATCGGATATAGAACTGGACTCCTTTTCCTGTTCGTCTCCATCAGTGGCCTGACGACAAATCCGATCGCAGGCGCTATCTTGCAACACTGGGATGGATCGTATACAGCGATGAGGATCTTCTCGGGTGTGTTATTGATTATAGGTTTTACTCTGGTGCTGGGTGTCCCGTCTCCGTGAGACAGGTTTGAAGTTAATGCCATTTTCTAAAAGGTTCTGAAGTCTCAACAGTCAACGGTTGATATTATTTATTGCTTCTCTTTCCACGATCTTGCAACATGATTCTTCGTTCTATCCATAATTCACTCTTGACCCCGTTGAGAGAAATTTCGCATATTTCTGCGTTTCTTTTTGGGATGTAGTACTCAATGATTATCTATCGCCTAGTATTAAGACAAACACATGCTATATACAACTTTATTTCAGAATAGGTAAACAGATCAATTAGACCAAGGATCAGGTCCAGACCGATCTTTATCACAGAATAACAGGAAGCCCGGCCTTTTGACGCATACTATAAACCTTCTCTTTCCACCGTTGAAAATCCCAATACGATTTGTAATCTTCTTCGAGGCCTATATAATGCAAGTCCTTTAACCTGTAGTCGATTCGATACTCCTTTACCAATTTTCCATCAACACAGATCCTGATACTTCCCACATACTCATACAACATCTTTCCATAAGGTGCCATAAAAATACTCATACCGAGAAGATACCCAATATATTCACTGATAAGATCGGCCAACCATTCCGGTCGCATGAGCAAGCCGAAACCCCCGATACAAAGTGATGTGGATGATTTTGGGTGGTTGTCATCGGCGCCCCCATTTATCCAGGCCCAGAAGCTCAGATCGGCAGGTGCTAACATTTCCTCCTTAGGTGGTGAGACAAAGTCTAAGGTCAAACAGTTGATCGTAGATGACATATCGTCCGTACGGGGTCCAACACTGGCGTCTCTATGCTCAGCCAAAGGTCCCACTTCCAGGAAGCGTTCCAACAGATAGTAGAAGGTCCACACGATTCGAGGCGGGGAGTCACCGTCGGGTAGCAAGTGGTATCTGCGCCAACTCGACGTTGGACAGGTGCCAACCACCCTGAAGGTGACTGTGAGATCCTCCACATGGCGACAGGGGTTGGAAAGAAAACACCATCGCGGATGTAGCTCTCTCTCGTCGCTCAGGATCACATCGAGCTTGAAAACCGATGGCGTAAGAGACTTATCCAGTCTTCTCTTGGTTACTTCGGCAATCTGGTGATTGACAAGTAGAAGCGATAAAGGGTTGGATGTCCAAGCCTCATGATAAATCTCCTGTGCCCTCCAGTATTTGACGGTCGAAACCCCGTGCGCTGCCGAAAGACAGTCCCCGTCTTGGCGGGGCCAAGGCATATAGTTCTGCCATCCTGGCAGGGGACGTTCAGGGGCAAGGACTTCGTAGCGCAACACCAGCTCGATGATTCGGTCTAGGAGCTCGATCGGTAGATTTAACAGAAAAATGGGCATTCTGTAGGACTCATTTACGGGTGCATAGAAATCGGATCTAGAGTCGGTTCAATATGTGGGGTTGCGTGCGGGTGACACATATGATTGATGTTCAGCAGATGCCCAGTGCAGTGCCAAGCGTTCTCTCAGTTCATCCGTCTAAGCGACAGTTACTTACCGGTACAGTCGCGCTAACATTAGCGCGCGGAAACTACTGCCGAAAATATACGGAGTATGTAGAGTACAATCCTTGTTTACTATAGGTATAAACCTACTAAACTTTATACTTAAAAATACAGCTTAAAACTTGCACAAAATATGCGAATCATGAGATTCTGGTGTTTGTTCTGCTTATCAACCCGCCAGTGGGTACCCGCCAATAACCCATTGGTTTAATATCCAACCCTATATCCAACCCACGGGGGTATGGAGAGACCTAGGTTGAATGCCCCGTTTGCCGATTACATTATAACTTTAGACATGCAATTTCATTCAGGTAGATAATAACTTTTAGTATGTGATTGCAACAGATGGCCACGTGGTGGCTGGTGTATTTTCTGACCCGAAATTTGCAAATGGTTGAAGCTCCGTTATAGGAGGACTCGTAAGTTCTTGTTACGAGCGGACCTAGGTATCGTCAATATATCACGTTTTGTTTCTTGAGTAAAGCAGCAGACGCCAAAAAATTACTGCCAGAGCTCCAAGTCATCGAATTCAAAGGTTCCATGGCCCAGTGCAGCAATTGCCACATGTAAAAATTCGCTAGGCGCTTCATCATCTTTCTCTGCGCAAAGCTGTCCATTCACCATGAAGCGGACAGTGTTCCCATTAGCTGTTATTTTGAGAGTGTCAAAGCCATTATAGCTGGGGCCCGTCAGAGTCTGAGGCACGAAGGAACACTCGCAATACAGAGCAACGTTGCGCCATTCGCAAATACTGTAATAATTATTGGACTCTTTGAGCAATACCAGGCCTTTTAGCGGGATATTATTCTTTCCTTCGACAAAGCGGATCACAATCCCTGCACCAAGTTTCCCGTCAGTTGAAGATTTGAATTCTCGAATCTTTACTGCCACAGATAGGCTGCAGTCACTGAGGTCGATTACTTTATCGCCAATTCTTGCTATGTGCTCCATCATATGAACCCACGAATCATTCCTGGCCCCTGCGCGCCCCTCGACGGTGTAAGCACCGTTACTTGTGTATCCCCTCCAAAGACCGTTTTTGGTCTCATAGTCCGTAGGACCTCTTGACTCACCGGGCTTTAGGCGTACGGGTTTGAGGGTTGAGCTTTTCAGCACAAGCTGCCAGTTTTCCGACATTTTCGTCTATGTACGCTCTTGTTGTTGCTGTGGTATGGTTGATGGCCTTTCTACCCCCTTCAGATAGCTCCACTGCCTCCAAACCTCTGTCAACATCAAATCGGTAATAGAATTCCAAGCGTTTTGCAGTTTAAAACCTTAGGAAGTCAGAAGAGACCCAGGCTATATGTTTGATTATACTCGTGCCTTACCGCTTCTCATTGTCCAGATGTTTATTATGCGATTCAGTCGCAATGTTAATAGACATTTGCACGGCTTCCTCGACTGCTTTGACACCTGCAGGTTCAAGGAAGTCGAAGTAAGAAAAGAGAGTTTGAACATCATATTGGTATGTCGCACGGCCAGTTCCTATCGAGACAAAACACCCTACCTGTCGTACGGGATCATCCAATGGTAATAGATAATCGTCTGACTGTAGCTCATCAATCGCGGCGTCAGAAGGGTTGTTCTTTCCGAATCCACTGTCAACATAGTCGATGTGATCGATCGTGACCGGTTCGAAGTATGTTGTCGCAGCTGCTGTAGCAAGGCGGACATTTAATATTGAACATTGTTCTAGGCTCGCTCTAACCCCATACGTTCGAAAAAGCTTTATGTTTTCTCGTCGTTTTTAGAAATCGCTGCCACCGCAACCTATAATTCCATTAGCAATTCAGGTGTGTTTTGAATTTTGAACAATCTCGGAATGTCATACCGGGACATGTCCTTCGTCTAGCTTAGACTCGTACATGATCACATCATCGTTTACCTGTTCATCGATGACCTTTTGGAGTCCTTCATTGCTAGACCGTGAGCCTTTAAGAGTCAATTTTGCCGCTTCCTTAATTGATCCACCCGGGAATATGTCTGTCCCCCGTTCTTCGAAGATGGCCTTGCATTCATTAAGTGTCTTTCCCAGGCGTCCAATAAGAACAGAAATCAATCCGCCTGTACTTGTCCCACAGATGTAATCAAAATAATGGTGTGATTCTGGAATGAAGTTTAATTTACTCCGCTGTTGCACCCTGTCACATGTCATCAAATCACATGTCAACCATATCTTTAGATAGTCAGATAGAACCGTTGAACCATAAGAATATCAACTAATTTGTAACTATCAAAAGCCTTTATCTACTATCCAGTAGATTGAATAATAAATTATCTATTATATTCTAGTAATATATTCTTAAGAAGTTAAGATACTAGAACTTTTATTTATCTATTTTACTATTTTAATTATCAATTTTATTTACTATATTATTGTGATTGCAAGTAGCGGTATGCTATGAGAGGTAGAGAGTTGCCGACCTCCTACCAAGGCTAGGGGGTCGCTACGTCCTTTATATACACAAGGTAACTGAGCATCGTTGGGTTAAGCCCGTGCGTGGTGAGGTGACTAGGGGTATAGCTGCCGATAGTCGCTTCTCAAGATAGTGCTATAGGTTACCCCAGCGTAGCTGCGATCACATACTATATCAGAGATAAAATCTGTTTTTATCAATAATTTTACTATTAAGATAGTATTCCGGGCTGAAAATAGATTTTTTTTTATAAAAAAAAAAAAAGCACGCAGTTATATATATATATATTAAATAACTTTTTATACAGTTATCTTCTATATTAATAGTAAAATAGATAATCGGAGGATTCTATAGCTAATACCATATAATAAATATAGGTGGGTTGGGTTGGATTGGGTTCAGGGAACCCGAATCTAACTACAGTTAGATGAAAACTACAGTAACAGGAGGTGTTTTGGCAGGTATAGTATTTTGGAATGAGATAACATTGTGGGCTGTTATCTAAGCCGTAGGTGAGCTTTAAGGCAGTGTGCTGCCAAGATTAGAGGTAGTGCTGATATCATCACGTGAAATACCGTAGGTGATCACCTGACGACCGGTCCCACCTGACGACCGATTTCCCACCAAATAACCACCGCAGAAATGAAGCCACAGGGCCACATACAATTCGAATTATAAAGAGATATTTTAGTATATTAAATATAAGGCCCTAAAGAAACTAAATAAGTTTTTTAATCATCCCGAAATTGTTGTAGAAGCCGAATCTGCCTGCCTCGATAATTTACTGTTGTAGAGGTCTCTCCTTCAATATCAGTAGCTGGTATATCAGTATCTTCTTTATCCTTAGATAAAAAAGATATAATAAGTTTCTTCTTACCCTTTCTGGCCTGTTTGATATTATTTTAAAGCTGATTATTAGTCTCCTTAGCCAGCTAGTCCTTTTTCTTCTGGTATTTCTTTTGCTCTGCTTACTAAAGGTGCAATTCTCTATTAGATACTCTGATTCTTTTCCTTTCTTCTATTAACTGTTGTTTCTCTGTCTTTTCATACTGCCGACAAAGCTTCTCTTTCTCTTTTAAAGCTTTAGCAAGTTGTATAGCCTTCTCCTTTTCAATTTAAAGATCCCGAGTTTGCTGGATTCTCTTTGGAGAATAAAATACTGTATAGCTATCCTCAGGAGCACAAAAATTAAAAATAAGAGATTTTCTATACTTGTATTTCTTCTGTTTATTCTGAAGGGCATTTTCCAGATCTTCACAGTGTAATTTAAGCAGGATATTCTCTGTAGAAAGATAATATATTGTAGAGCTTAATTTTTTGGAGTTTTGATTATAAATATCAGAAATAATCTGCTTAAGAAGTCTCTCAATCTTTCTCCAGTCTTCTGCCTGTAGAACTGAGCGTAAGAACTTACTGGAAAAAAACCTTTAATCCTCCTCTTTAGTAAAGTATATCAAAATAATCTCCAGATTCCAGGACTATAAACTAACTAATTTCCATATATTTATTTATTTAATCAAGTTTAACGTCCATATGGAGCCAATCGGCTATGACAGACACATGCGTCTAGGCAGTGGTCTAGGCCACTGCCTCTAATTTGCCCCTAGAGGCTCTACCAGCCTCTTCTATCCTCTGTGTATTCGTTCTGGTCCTTTTCCTCGCCCGAACCGCCTATCTGCGCCAGAGCATTTGGGCTGTGCCCTCCTCGGTATTCATTGTCTATTGGGTATTACCTAGGCGTGTCTAGGCTACCCCTCCTACTATCCTTCTCCCCTACTCTCTGCTTCCTCTACTAGCCCTAGATCTCTTAGATTATCTCTAGAGATCCTATCTATCTCCCTGGCTGCCTCTCCTGGAAAGCATCCAATCTTTGTTGTTGCA